TTAAATATAAATATATATATAAATATAAATATAAATATATATTTATATTTATTTATTTATTTATTTATTTATTTATTAATAAGAAGATGGGCAGCCACTGGCGAAGACCAAAGGCAAATATAAATAAAAAAAGACAGCAGCAGCAGCAGCAGAAGGAGCAGCAGCAGCAGGACTACTACAACTACAACTACAACTACAACTACTGCTGCTGCTGCTGCTGCTGCTGCTGCTGCTGCTGTTATATATTATTTCTTGCTGGATCTATCTCCATCCTTACGAATCGAGCAAAGAGAGCAAAAGGATCTAAAAGTCTTGAGAAGAAGGTAAGAGGGGAGCTTGCTGCTGCACTTGTTGCTGCTTTGCTGCTGTCGTTGCTGCTGTTGCTGTTGCTGCTGTTGTTGTTGTTGCTGTTGTTGTTGTTGTTGCTGCTGCTGCTGCTTGTTGGGGTGTCTAGGGAGGTATAAGAAGAGGATTGAGGAGAAGGACTACTAACTCCTGTTAGGGGTTGAGGAGGAACAACAAGAACAGGATAAGAAGGATAACCTGCTGCTGCTGCTGCTGCTGCTGCTGCAGATCCTTGTGGGTTAGCTGCTGCTGCAGCTGGATCATAAGGATATGTTGCTGCACCTCCTGTTTGTGCTGCTGCTGCTGCTGCTGCAGCTGCTGCTGCAGGTGATGATGGATTAAGTATAAGATCTTGACCATTAGCTGCTGCAGTTGCTGCTGCTGCTGCTGCTGCTGCAGCAGGAGAAGACGGGAAAGGTGGATCATGAAGATGTGCTGCTGGTCCCAAATTGTTGCTGCTGCTGCTGCTGCTGCTGCTGCTAGCACCACCATTAAGTAGCTGCTGCTGCTGCATAAGCTGCTGCTGCTGCCATCTAATAAAGGAATTAGCTAATGGGGAATCTATACCTTGATCATAATAATTATTTAATGCATGCACTACCCTTATTGCTGCTGCTGCATCTATTATACCCCCGCTAGCTATTTGCTGCTGCAGTGCTGCTAGGGGAGACACAGAGAACAGCAGCACATCTCTTAGCTCTGCTGCTGTCATTTGTCTCCTTTCTCCCCATACTAATGCAGCTATACCTGTATATATACACATTTATTTATTTATTTATTTATTTATTTATTTATTTATTTATTTATTTATTTATTGGCAACAAGAGGAAGTATCATTTTTATATCTGTATGTAGCTAACAAACTAAATAATTAATTATACTAATAAATAAATAAATAAATAAATATATAATTAATTAATTAATTTAATTATTTATTTATTTATTTATTTATTTATTTATTTATTTATTTATTTATTTATTTATATTTACCTGCAACAAGAGGAGTAGCCATAGAAGTACCACTCTTATATCCGTATTTATCTCCGAATTGTTTAGCAGGTAATGTAGATATTATATCCGTACCTGGTGCTGCTATATCTACATTATAACGACCTGTATATATATATAATATATATATAATATATATATATAATAAAATAATTGTCCTCCTCCTCCTGCTGCTGCTGCTGCTGATGATGATGGTGCTGATTGGTGATGATGGGGGGGAGGGGGAGGGGGAGGGTGGTGATTGTGCTGATTGGGGTGGTGCTGGTGTGTGTATGCTGCTGCTGCTGCTGCTGCTGCTGCTGCTGCTGGTACAGCAGCAGCAGCAGCAGCAGCAATAGCAGCAGCAATAGCAGCAGCAATAGCAGCAGCAATAGCAGCAGCAGACATGGATGCAGTGCATACAAAAGAAGCAGCAAAAACAACACCCAACAACAGCAACAGCAACAGCAACAGCAACAGCAACAGCAACAGCAACAGCAACAGTAGCATTAGCACAAAGAGCATATCCACCATAACCATCACAATCAGCAACAGCAGCAGCAGCAGCAACAGCAGCAGCAACAGCAACAGCAACAGCAGCAGCAGGAGCAGCAGCAGGAGGGGGAGGAGGAAGAAAAGTACCATAATTAGAGGATGCAGATAATTTGCCAGTTGGTGCTAAATTAGCAACACGTAATAAATTACGAAATCCTCTTCCTGTCCTCCAATCATAACCCCAATTAGGAGGAAAATCTTTACTCCTAATACAGCAGCAGCAGCAGCAGCAGCAGCAGCAGCAGATGCAGGAGGAGGAGGAAGAAGAAGAAGAAGAAGAAGAGGGAGATATATCATTCATAAGGTTTAATATATACATATATATACATATATATATATACATGTATATATACATATATATACATATATATACATATACATATATATATATAGAATATACGTAAATATACAAATATACAATAAACGTAAATATACAAATATACAATAAACGTAAATATACAAATATACATATACATATAAATATAAGCAATAGATATAAATATAAATAAATAATCATAAAAAAGTGAATAAAATAGATATAAATGCAGGGAAAAGTGTATATAATAGAGGAAAATAAGAAGAATAAGAATAAATAAACAAAAAAAAGAATAAA